AGGAGCGCTTTGCTTCGGCTCACAAGAGAACAGCAAAGCAGAAGCAAGGTTTCTGTATTTCATCTAATTAGTGTTGTCTTCTCTGCTCTGCCATAGGGAAGTCCATGATGTTTATCATCATTCTGCTTTCTCAATGGCAGTCGTAATTGTATACTAGAATGAATGAAAATAGGAATTTAGAGTAAGGGAGAGAAAGAACAGGCCATGCTGAGTATATCCTATTCCTACCAGCTGCAGAAAGGAGGTCCCCAGCTGCTTTTCATGCCGTGTCTCCTGTAGATTCCAGCTCTGCCTCCGTGAGTGTCTCTACAGCATTGTCTGGGAGGTGCAGAAAGCCCTCAGTGACTTTTAGGATCTTCCAGAATCTCATCCTGCTGCTGTTTTCCTTAGGCATTATTTGGGGTCACTGCAGTAGCTCTTCTCCATACACGCTGCACAGCACCTCTTACCTTTTGAATGACACCACTGGAGGATAAACTACTTCTGCTTTCAAGCAATTTTGTTGTTTTTATTTTTTAAGTAAGAGCCATGATCAATGTATTTAATCATTATCTTGGTCTGAAGAGGAGAACCTTTTGAAGGTACATTTATCCATTTCAAGGAATTGCATGCAAATAGAGGACCAGCACTTAAGGGGCTGTTTATTCAGTGGATGCACCACAATGAGAGAGTGCAAAGTACTGTCTTTCCCAATAATCTCTCCATGAGAAGTGCTTACAGCAAGGAATGAAGCAGGTATGTTTTAATCCCTTCATGCGTCCATATGTTTTAATTTCCAAGTGCTTCCATTTCTGAATGAAAAGTTGCATCATTGGGCATAGGCATTCCTTGCATGAGTCTGATCTTTTTTTAACCTACTTCACCTTTCACAAGCTCACATAGCAACGAGCTTCAGCATGTAATAACATGTAGAGTGAGTAATCCTTTTGTTTTAAACCTGCTGCCTCATATTCTATTAAGCAGCATGGACAGGAACAGCAAGAGCTCCTCCAGACAAGGAGAGGGTTTGGGTCACTGAGGGCTGATGGCTGGGTGGTCAGGTCCTATTCTGTTGCAAAATACCATGCAGCCCATAGAGTTCACATTGTCTTGGCCCTTATGAGCATTATTTTATAGGTTATCTATAGAAGGATAGTACAATAGAAACTGGGTCTGTGGAAAAGTCCTCATACAGCACCATAGGTGACTGTGATCATCTGCTTAATGGGCTGATTGACTTTAGGACCTTTCTCTTGCAATGTCTTTTTCTTAATAGATACAGTGAGTTACACACTGTGATTTATCACTGTTGTAAAAGAATGCAGGTTTAGATCAGTGGAACCTAGATTTAACAATTTGCTTCGGCTGAACCGTAACACCAGACAAATCCAAAAGCCTTGTTCTAACACCTGAACTGTGTAGTTACTGAGAAGATTTATGAAGTTTCTTCAGCTGCTTACTTGTACTTCAGTCATTGGGATATGGGGATAGGGAAGTTTTAATTTCATCACTCCACAAAGACAGTCCCTTGATGCATGAGTCAACTTTGAGAAGGGTTGCTAAATTACAGGGTGATGAGAGAAGCACTGGCATCACTTAATCCCAAACATTTAATCTTCAAAGGTTTTGAATTAGTTGGAGTTTATTAAGCTTAAAATCCATAGAGTATTTTTGAGGTGGTTCTATTTTGATTGATTGATTGATTGATTGATTAAAAACCACAGAGGAATAACTATTCTAAATTGCTATCATTTTCAGTGCAAATGAATGAGCACTGTAACTGGATTGTTTATCACTTACTCAGTGTAGAATGGAATGTGTAGGTTATCCCCACTTTCCAGCCATCACCGAATTGGTTTTTGTCTTCTTTCCAAAGGCAAACCAAAGGTATTTCAACCATCCAAAATAACTTCCTGGTGCTGTTCCATTGAAACTGATTTTCTAGAGACAGTCAGCAAACCAAATATCCAACCTGGCCTAGTGGAAGGTGTCCCTGCCTGTGACAGGGGGTTGGAACTGGATGAGCTTTAAGGTGCCTTCCAACCCAAACTGCTCTATGATTCTATGAAGGGTCTCTTTCTCTCTGCTCTGTGATTCACAGATTGCTTCAGCCAGGCTGAGTGAACTGTGCAGATGGAACTGGGGAAGGACTGAGCAGGAAATACAGTGTTATCCATCCGTAAGGAGAGCCTGAAAAATCCCCCCACACTTTGAAATTATGAGCTACACAAATACAGCAGCCTTTGGGCTGTGGGATGGCAGCAGTTGCCTGGTTGTCCTCCTACAGAAAGAAGATACTGTTGGCTTAAGCAGGGGAGGCAATCTCAGCTCTGAGTAACTGATCCTTTTCATACCAAGAATATGGGACTTTATGGAAATCAACTGGTATAAAACATTTATAATTGGTTTGGTTTTCCTATTCATAATGGTTTGGATATCACTCTCCCTCAGTAGAACTTTATAGACAGGAATGGAAATAGCCTTAAGCTACTTCATATACTTCCCAGAGCCTATAGTGTCATGACAAACCCTACATTCGTACAGAGCTATCAATTAAGCTGAGAAAAGGATCAAAGCAATCAATGCCAGCTGTGCATTCAGCCTGATGTGAGCTGTAATTTATTCTTACATCTTTGAACTGCACATAGAAACAAGAAGATATGATTTGTTCTTTTGCATGGCACAGAACTTCAAAGGTTAGCTACCACTGAAAACACTGGTGAAACATTTATTCACTGGTTTATGTTATTAAAGAGATTTCTGTAAATTAAGCAGGAAGCACTCTTCAACAGATACTTCCTTTTCATGTGGAAATCCCTTGTCTGCCTTGCCCTCTGACGATCCTATGGCAGCAACCACTGACAGCTCCAAAGCCAGCTGCTGTTCATGAGGAAGAGGCACCAGTGGCTTTTTTCCACCATGCAGATATCCCAACCCTTCCCTGGAGGCACGTTCAGTTACTGCCCATTGCAGTTAACATAAAGCTACAATGGAGCAGGAAAAGTGGGTAATTCAGAAGGGAAGGGAACCCGTTGTGGTTATGTACCAGTTGCTGCAAGACATCACACATCCTTCAGCAACACCTTAAGCTACAGATGTGGAGATGAGCAGGTTAATAACTGTGAGTGGCCTCAGTCAGGTAGAAGTCAAGAGAACAACCACCATAAAGAAGAAATTCTTTACAATGTGAGTGGTAAAACCCTGGCACAGGTTGCCCAGAGAGGTGATGGATGCCCCACCCCTGGAGACATTTAAGACCAGGTCGGATGTGGTTCTGGGCAACCTGATCGTGTTGAAGATGTCCCTGCTCGTTGCAGGGGGTTTGGACCTAGATGAACTTTAAGTGTCCCTTCCAACCCAAACTATTCTGTGATTCTATGTAGTTAGTGTTGTGGTGTCCTCGGCACCAACTACTTGTGTCTCGTGCATGCTGATGAGGTCAGTCAAGCGCTTCTTTCTCCAACAGGAGAGGTAAAGCATGGACTGTGGAAGTGTAATTTCCTCCTCATGTGCCTGAGGCTTGATTTGTGAAAAGCAATTGAACAGTAAGTTATGAGCAGAACATCCACCGGTACACAAGTCCTTCGTCTTTCAGGAGGCTTAATGGAAGTGATGCTAACGAAAGCCTCTCTTCTTGGTGGCATACACCCCAAAACGACTTCCCAAAGGACTGAACTACAGGAATGTTTGGTTGCCTTGCCTGAATTCAAGGTGTCTGAGATGAGAGCAACTCCTTCTGCAGCCTACTAATTGTCCTGTTTCTCTAATTCTGTCTTTTTTTAGTATGACTTCTGTTCCCTGTAAAACAAAAAGGATTTTATTCCCACGACATGGTGCAATTTATGGTGGTGAGAAAAACTGTAGAATATTTTACATAAGAGAAGAAATGGGTTTTTATCAGCTCCCACAAACTGGAATGTGATTCGATAAAATTCTTCCACTTTTACTACTTGTAAAGCATGTAGATGAGAAGTACATTTAAAGGGCAAATGAAGCAAGAATCATTTTATTTTACAAATGAAACAGTTTTGTACAGTTACCTTTCTCATGCATTTCAGTTTCTCTTTGAAGGTAAAAGCAGCTCCTGATGGGAAACTTCCTTCAGGTCTTATTTGAGAACAGAATAACCTCAAGCCTCGTGCCAATAGTGTCAATGTCCTCCAGCTCCCTCAACTGGAAGAAAACATCTACATGACAGAGATCTCCCAGGAAAAATAGGAACAAAAGCTGCCATAATGGGTTTGGGACTAATGAAAGTGACAAAAGGAGCAGGGAGGTCAGTGCCTGGTTATCCCACAAAGTCTTTATTTTCCAAAGTGCCAGTAGAGGAGGAAGGCACACAGGGACTTTGAGAGGGATGGACACTGGCTCCCTGAGGAAATGCTTTTGGATTTCTGCATCTAAGCTGCTCTTTTCTGTCATTATCAAGAACGGCTGGTACTGCTTTTGCAGGAAAAGAAGGCAAATCAGTGAAATGAGCACTCACCAGCCCTGCAGAGTAGATTCTCCAATACAGCGATGCCTTTGGTGTCCTGTGCTATAAAAGTAATTACCCCAACAAGAAAAACGCAGGTGCTGAGGAGTGTTATATGTTTTCTCTTCATATAGAATCACAGAATCCTATACGTGTGCTGTTGATCAGTGCTACGGGTTAGATTTACAGGCAGCTTGCCAAAATACCGGGGTTTCTTATTGTACATCTAAACTAAAGGGTCCTCAAAATTGGCAGATCTTTCAGAAAACTCTAATTGAGAACTAATTCTTCCTTCTCCCTACCCCCAAATTTGACTCCATCTAGGATTGTTCTTAAAGCTTACTGTATTGTCAGTATCAGAGAAGCAGGATCTAACTCAGGAGTTCTTTGTGCAATGCTCCTGCTCACCCCAGCAGTGCACTCACGCATTCCAAAGGTTGGGAACTCCAGTACTGCAGGCAGTCAGTTGTGACCGGGTCACTGCAGCAGCCTGACTATGCTGCACTTGTGACTTAGCTGTTTGACTGAGCTTATCGAAGCCATCATCCTATGCTACCTCTTTCAGTGTCCCTGCTGCTGCCTGCACAGTGAAGGCTGCAATGGAAATCTGCCTCTTTACTTCTTCCCAGGCCTCACGCTGATCCGCTTTGCTTTCAATATCAAACATGGCATCATAGATTCCTGGGAATGATTCTCCTGCATACTTGTTATGGCTGCTTGGAGCAAAGATGACATGCCTGGGGGTAAAGAAGAAAAGTAGAACTATAATAAATAATTGCTCATTAATGGTGTGTGTGTTCACTGTAGGGAACTCTATGTATGTTACATAAAGTGGCTGTGAACCTCCTGAAAATCAGAACTTACCAAATACACAGCACATATAGCTGGACCTATCTTTAAAAGGACAGGAGGAAGCAGCCCCAAGGGCAAAATCTATGGCACAGATTTAGGACAGGGAGCCTTCTCCTCGGAAGACATGATACATTTGTCTAATTAGGATCTAATATTAATTTTTTTGAACATGGAAGCTCAACAAACCTGTTGAACGAGGGAATAAAACTAGTTCTGGGTGTACAGTGAGAAGTGGAACAGAAACCTCAAAACCAATGAAGCAGCTGTATGATGGCCAGCAAGTCTGGGAAAGGAATGTAAAAAAGAAGGGAAAATATATGTGTGGGAGAATTCTTGATAAAAGCATGAATTCTCCAGAGAAGAAATGGTCATATTGGAGCAGAACTGAGCAAAAGTATCAATTTTATTTGTTGGTGGGATTTTTATTCTTGAATAGTTGCAGATCTGCTTTTAAATCAATTTTGTTCATATGAAGTATCAAAGCACATGTGTAGCACATGAGAGTCTTTCCAAATCAAAACAAACTACATTAATAAATGCAAGCAAGTGAAAAACAAGTTGAAAAATTCAGACAGCTCTAAGTGATACCTAATACCCAACAAGAAGAACTGTAGGAAACAACCATTTCATTCTTCCAGAAGTGTGAATGACAGTTTATTCTAGGAGGATGGAAGAGTGATTCTCAGATTCTACCTACCTGAGGGACTTCTGGCTTGGCATGAAAGCCATCGATCAGTGAGTCAGATATATCCAGTCATTAGCAAAAGGGGGGTCCTGATAGTAAAGTGAGGCAGTCACACACTTGACAGTAGCAGTTAGCTTCTTGTCAAGTGTTACTAATCAATGCACTGGGTTTCTATAAAGGGTATTATGGTGCACTGAACGTTGTCTTTCTCTGGGCCTATGTAGAGGGAAAACTTCAAGCATAACTAGTAAAATATTTAAGCTAATAGGTACATCTATAGAATCAGCCAAAGCTGGGACAGCTGGGACTCTACAGCACAGCTCATGGGACTTCATCTATCCTGTGCTCAAAGGTCTCTCTCCAAACTCTCTCTTCTGGACTTCTGATCCTTGCTACACATGTGTTTTCATCCTCTTCTCCCTTTTACTCTACCCTCTTTTCTCCTTTCTTTTCAGTACAGTTGGTTCTCCACTCAATCCTCACTTTGTACAGCTTTGAAAGAGCAAGTGGTAAGAGAAGTAGTGCTACGCACCTGCAAGGAGAAGTCACAGAGTATGATGGAGAAAAAACAGTGTCAGACCTAAAGAGAGGAATTAGGCACCACAAGACTGGTGCAGCCAAGGAGTTCTCCTCAGGGGCTATTAACAAAATCCACTACTCACTGGATATTACCTAAAACAGCTCTGTTGAGCTGTAATTCCTATATGAAGCCTATAGAGCAGTTCAGCTGACCAGTTAGCGTGGGGTTCACCTTCAAACGCAGTGCCTTAGGCAGCTGAGCAGGAAACCTCATTCCTCACCTGTAAAACTTCCTTCCTGGTAATCCAAGAGGATCAATGAAAGCTCTTTCTATAAACGTCAGCTGATCGTTCATGATTCGCACTGTCACTGGACTGCAGGAAATGGAGACAGAGAGATTTCACACAATGAGGAAACATGACTTCATTTTCACTGAACATAAAGTGAAGAGCTCAGTCCAGCTTTAACTGTTAGTGCTACCTGCCTTTCCATGTATTACAATCACCTTACTGAGAAGCTGATACTAGTAATAAGCTCTACAGCTGGTACTATTCATCCCAGCAAGCAGAATTCATCTTAGCAGATATAGCCTTTCTCAGAGTTGAAGGACTCCATGCTACACTAATCAGAGAGATTCCTTGTACAGTTATTGGGAAGGAAGAACTGCCGCTCTGGGTACCTAAGGCGTGTATCTCTGTATTGATATACTTATATATATTGATATATTTATATATAAAACATTTTCTTTCAAACTTACTCTTTCTTGTCAGCTTGTTCAAGTCTCCTGTGAAATTCATCAGCAGCCTTTGAGAAGTTCACCACAGCAGAAAAAAGAGGATCTAGAAAAGGAAGGACTTTGTGAACAACTTCAGAGTATTTGCTGAGCCCCATATACCTTTCAGTTACCCAGTGGGAGAAAAAATACATTTGTTTTGCTGATACAATTGCATTAATTTTGTTATCTTTCCATCATTCATTTGTTTCACTAGTGTAGGTTTTAAAGAGCTGCACTACTAACAGTAATAGACAAAGACCTTGTGCAACAAAGCCAATAACAAAGCAGAATGCTTGATAAAGCTTTCAAAAGTATACATCTTCCCTCTGCCTGGCAAGGAGACGATGGGCTGACATTGCAAATGGAGAACTCTGCAGTTTCCTGTTTAACAAAGGGATGCACTGCAGAGCTTAGGTATAAATAGCCTGACTTACATCAAAAATACTGTCTCTCCTAGCAGGCTGTTGAAGAACAGCAGGATTTCCCTCTTGGAACATTATGTCCTATTCATATCATAACAGAAGAGCGTGACATGGATATTGAATAGTATTGGGTGAAGTGTAAAAGACACAATGCCTGGAATGCAGTGATAGGGTAGATTAAAGTTGCTTGCTCCACACATGCAGTAGAGTTTCAGCACTGGAGGTATCTCTGCCATGATCCCCCGTTCTACCCCTCAGTGCTGCTGCTCACACCCCAGGGTTTTGCCTGTTATGCCTGTCTACGTGCAGGTAAGTCAGTGCTTTGCCTGGCTCTGTCCCTGGCAGTATGTCCAAGCCATGTGGAATAACTTTGCCAAAGAAGCAGTGGGCCTTTCTTATAATGACAATATCAGCTGTAAAAGAGTCTGTTTGGTACAAACCTGGGAAAACTATCAATTTATACAAGTAATTTTGGTAGAAGAAGTACCAGGTGGGTGTTACGAGGAGAACTTCTGGCCTTACCAAAAATCAACTTGGTTACAAAGAAGCAAGGTTTACAACTTGTACATTTTGCTCACAAGTGTCAGAAAACTTTAGACAAATGAGGGTATCCTCTCTTTGATCATACTGGAATATGGGGCATAAGATTAGGTCATCTCCTAAATCCAGCCCCCTGTTGACAAGTCTGGCCCTTCACTGTTCATAAATTTATCACACTATTTTAGTGTGACAGGCCTTCTGTAGCAAGATTTATCACACTAGTTGGTGCGATAGGCTTTCTGTTCCAGGACTCCTCTTGAAAGCTGTTCCACAGTCTCATTTGCTCTTCTGTTTCTAGGAAACTTATTTAATTATCACCAGCCTACATTTGCTTGTTCTTGTATGCACATTTTTGTTTAGTTTACACAATTACGGGCACAGATCTTATGTATGCAAGCTCTTTGTGGACTGCAGTATAGACAGACCTATGTCACCTTGTGAGGGTGAGAATTCACACTTGCCCAGAGCCAAGGCAATAGTTTCCAGTGTGCTGAAGGACAGAGGTCTACCCTGCTGACATCATGGCTGTATCATGGTAATAGATTATATTTCAGAAGCAGTAGGAGAGGATTTAAGAGGAAAAAAGAAAGACAATCTGAAAATACATGAGAGAATTTGTGCTCATGATCACTATTCAGTGTTGTCAGTGTTGGTTATTTTAGAAACTATGTGATAGCATATTTCATGAAAAGAAGGTTTCCAGCCTTCATTTTTGCAGAGGAACAGCTAAAATAGGAATCCAAAGGCAAACAGAACCTTAATCTATTATTTTGAAGGGCAATGATGTGATTTATTCAGGCTTAATTAACAATTTTCTGACATTCAGTGTTGTCAAAAGTCAATTCTGTGAAACTGCTGAGTTAATTTTAATTTGCACAGTATTACAAAAACTGCCAAAGTATTTTAATATACTCTGGGGCAACAGAAGAAACAAGAATTAAAAATTATAGTTTCGTTCAAGAAATAATTTAAAACTGATCAGGCATTAGAGAAAATAATGAAAATAATGAAAAGATTGAAAAACATGCCTCGTAAAAACCCTGGTCAAAATGACACAGGTATAAAGTTATTAAGGAGAGGGTTAAGTGATTGAAAAGAAGAAGATTGCTTCTAGGAACAAATACTGACGCGTGGGTCAGAAGGTAGTTTGGGCAACTTCTAATCTGAAATGAGAAAGAAACTCAAACAATGAAAATAATGGTTTAACAAAAGTTATGGTAGATGTTCTAGTGCTGCAAAACTTAATTCCAGGTTTGATGTTTCCTTACAAGATATGCTGCAGTAACGACATGAATGTATTGAAATAAATCCTTGTGTTATTGAAGTCTCAGAGCAGATGATCCATCACACAGGGCTGCTTCTGTCTCGAGTGGCCTTCTTACTTTTCAAATGAGTCAAGAATTTATCACCTAAGCCACTATATGGAGTTTTAAATGTAATTCTTAATCTTCTCCAAATGAGGATCCAAGTTGAGTTACTTCTAGTGTTTCACACTATGCCTAAGAATCACTGCATCTCTCAAAGTTAGTTTATGTCTCTACACCACGGGTCCATCAGATAGCAAGTCAATTGGGACTGCCTGAAAAATCCTCCTTGGTACAGAAACACAATGGGTGAATGAGGCAAGAAGAGAAAAGGGACAGAGGGAGGTGAAGATGGTGGTGGAGGCTATCCTAGCCTGGGATCCAGAGCACTCTGCTGCTTCAGATCTGGTTTATATGCTTCACTGCAACGCGTTCAAGTGCTCAGCAAATGGAGGTATTTCTGCAGAAGAGTTAGGGAAGTGGTTTTGTGGCCTAAAAGTGGTAGCCAGGCATTGAGACAGATGGAAAGCAAGTTTCTCAGGGTTAGACGGAGTCTTTGGCTGAGGAGGAATGGCACCTGTGTTTCTCAAGCACCAGGCAATTGCCCTAAACCTTTGACTTTTTAAGTAAGAAAATAAGAAGCAGGCTGATGTATCTTTGTTCTGCATTTGAGGTCTATGATTTCTCATAAGCACTGTAATAATGCCCATAATTAATAATATGAAAACTGTTAGAATTCTCTCATCTATACAGTAATGTGTTAAACCTGTGTTATGTTTAGAAAAAACGAGGCTCTTTGTTATGATGGCAGAATTAAAACAGGAAAGTAAGGAATTCAGTTTCACAGCTATAACAGATACAACGTGTGTAATTTTAATTAACGCACTTAAGAAATAGCTTTATGGCTGTTACTCACCAAATGATACTCTGTAAAGTTTCAGCTGTTCTTCGTGTTTCTTGGCCAATTTATAAATTCTACTGCTATATTCTTTTAAGGCTTCTCCATAATCTCTGCAGTCAAATGGAATGACCTGGGAATCTGCCAGTTCATAGACCAGTTTGCCTCGTAGCTGGGCAATTGTTAGCTGTTTCTTGAAGGTGGGGTCATAAAACTTTTCCACCAACTCGAAGGTCTCATACACTGTGTGATAAACAGGATAATTGCTGTATCTGTCTGCTTTCTGAAAAAGAGCAAGCAAATTTGTCAGTGCCCTGTATTCTAACTGCAGTTAAGGGATGTATTGATCACTTAACTATGATGCTTTGCCCAGATTCCAAATGAAAAAAAGCTATTTGCTACAAAACACAATTAGTTTTCCTTCCATCTTGATGCATTCATGTTAAGAAACTAAATCAACATGAATCCATGGACTGTCGCACAAGATAAGAGAGCAGGCTACCTTCTCCCTATCTACACAGACCTGCCTTCAGTTCCCTTTGTACAGAGATTGCCTTCAGTAAAAGCGAGAACAGTTTGGGGTAGCAGAAGTCCTCCCTCATGGCCCCTTTTTATCTTGTGTATTTCTGACCACAGTCCAGGCATATTGTATATTAAGGGCCCTACTAATAGCATGGTGGAAATAAATATACACTTCCCCTCAGAGTCTATAAATACCCTTCTGTGACCTTGACAGCCAATAGAATACACACATCACTCTAACATGTTTTATTCTCCAAACATTTAGGTTTCTTGCTAAATTAAGAAACTGCACTGATTTACAAACCAATCAAAGATTCTTTGAAGCTTTTGTATTAATCATGAACAAATGCTTTTAAAAGATGACTGCTCAGCACTACAGACTTCTTCAAGCAATCTGGAAGACTTACCCTGTTCTTGGTATAACGGACTCTGCCTGATGCAATTCCCAGTCGCTGAAAGTAAGCTTCGAAATCACTGCCTGATCCCAGTTTGTTTATTCTACATATAGAAAAGACAACACCTCAGTGAGAGCATTTCCTCTATGCTATGGTGGTAATTTATGCAAAACACAGATTCTTCAAAGAAATTGAGGTCAGTTCTTCTGGAGGGTGCATCAGGGACATTCGTAAGATCAGAGACTAGATGAGTGGCAAGCTTAATGACTCTAACTGATTTTATTCCACCACACTAATTCAGTATCCAATATTGCTAAGAAGATCTTTTAAAGGTAGCAACCCTCATTATGGCATTGATCACACTTAAAAAAACCCCTCACACATTGTGTACAAGACACATAAAATTGTATCAGGCCTGTCTCTGCAATCTGAAAACGTTAATCATCTATTTCCAAATTAATATGAATTGGGCAGCAATATATGTAAAGACAGATGTGTTTATATACTTAGCATATTCCACAGTAGAATCAAAGACTGAGAAACAATTTCCACTGCAGACAATTAGCATTTCTTACTTACAACTAGATATTGCCATCTGCTGGGTAAGGGTGGCAAGACAGGGGGAAAGAAAAAAGATGTAATACTCTTAAGTAATTTTAACTATTTATTCAAGTTTTATACTAAGCTTTAGGTTTATATGACTGGCCTGGTGAGTAATTGGTGTTTCTCAGCTAGAAATGAAACAAGTTTTTCTATTCCAGCTGGAATTCTTCTGTCAGTATAAATTTCTGCAAGGAGCTATTTGTATCAACTGAGAAAGATCAGATCTGGTAGCTTTTTCAAGAGGGAGAAACCTCAGTGAGTCTAATGAATCTTACCAGGGCCTGAAAGGTAGGGTAATACATGCAGAACATTTTGACATATCCCACAAAGGGGCAATTCTATTTACCTTCTGTGAGTAACGCCACGTTGTGAAAAGATTTAAGCCCTGAGTCACAGGCTCAGAGTGTTTGGGAGTTTTAATACCTTCAAATATGAAGTTTTAATACCCTGAGATATAGATTTGTAATGTATTATATTTACATTGTATAAACAAAGAACAAGTAATTACCACTCCAGGCAGTTACTTTCAACTGAGCATTTGCTTACCCTAACAATTTTGATATATCACCTAGTAGCGTGACTAAACTGAATTTTCAATTCTTCCTTCACCCTGCTCTTTTTTGATTGCTTTCCAGATTGCTGTTCTGCTAATAAAAAGCCTTTAAAAAGTGTGAGGTTTCATTTTACAGCAAGCATAGATGTCACTTTCACTTTTAAAAAGTCATAAAATTTGATTTTATTTTACTTTAAAAGATATTGCTGGGAAGTCACCTTGTACTGGAAGGTTTTGTATTGCTGTCATCAATAGCACATCCTGAAACATTCTGGCGAGTAGCCATGCTATGACATTATGAAAATATTAGGAAAGACAAGAAAGATTAACAACTTACCTGGGATAGCTCTTATTCTCACTTGCAGGATCTTTCTTAAGCCAACTCTCATAAAGTGACTTATTTTCATAACCCTCATCAGGGCTTAAAATCTGGAGAGGAGAATATTACAATCGCAATGGAAGTACCTCCAACTCAACTCATTACCAAAGGAGATCTTTACAGCTATCTGCATCATTCTAATCAGCAGCATTGCTGCATGCAGGGAAGTACACATACACGATTTACATTTGTTACATACATTTAGGGATCCCAACCATGAAAAGCATCTCACAGAGTGGGCTTTCTGAATGAAATTCAGTCCTATGCAAAAGCCTCATGCAAAGCGCAGAGACCATTTGAGTCCCATCTATGCTGTTTCCAAGAATTAACAAGGACTCCTGAGGGGCAGAGAACCTCTCATTATTCCTATGGAAGGAAATAACAACCAGGATATGCGAAGACTTAATGGGCTGAGGCTTTGATATGTGTATATCTAGCTTACCAATGTCATCCAAAACCAAATGCACTGCAGTTGAAATAATAGCAAAACTAAGAATGTAATCACTCTGCTTTGGTCCTTCTAGCCCTTACAGAAATTAGGGGCTCTTTTTCAGATTCATGGAAAAGACACAACTGATGAACAAAGGTACAGGTTGTAGTCTTTGGTTATCTTTGCAAGAGGCTACTTAAATGAAAGTGGAAAAAGGGGAAAGAAAGTTAAGCAGATCCCTCTGTAAAACAGAACTCCCCTGTTCAAGCTTTATTTTCACTCCCTCTTTTCCTAATCCTATTCACTGGAATTTGTAGAGACCTGAAGAATAAAGATGTTTGAACCCTTACATGAATGTTATTCTATGATGCTAGAAGCAGGGAGCCACATTTCCCCAGGGTCTATCACTCATTTATATGTTTCTATGCCAACAAAAATGGTGTCCTGGCTAGAAATGGTCCTTCAGCAAATGCCCTTTAGTATCCCTGACTTCTGTCCAAGAGTCCATCAAAACTCTTTTTACTTGGAGAAATTCCAACAATCTCTATGAATGATCTTACAGAAAAGCTCAAAAGAGTGTAAATGTTCCAGAGAAAGGTTCACAGCCTGTGATTTATGGATCACTGGAGGTCCCTGGTGGCACATCAACACTGCTTTATGAAAGATGGCTCAGAAATGAAAACTACAATGTTGAGTCACTGTGAAGATTTGACTGAGTACGTAAAGTAGAGCACAGCAGAGAACCAGAATGCTGCTGCAGAATCCTGCTTTGTGGAACAACAGAAAAGAAAACGTTGTGGATTTTGTCTATAACCAGCGAACAAAAATAAGATGTTCCAACAGTGGCTTTAAGAGATGGTCACTGACAGCTCACTACCATAAAATAATCCCCTTTATAAATGCATCTATGAAGAACATGGATGAATGTAATGTGCTTCTGGGAGCTTTTTAGCAGGGAGACAACATGGAATTATGGAATAGCTGTCAGGTTTTCTATTGTTTACATTATTCTTCTAGTGTTAAAAGCTTAAATAACACTGAATAGGAAAAGTTTCAAAAAAGCCATTCTCAAGTACTTCAAGTGGTACCTTAATGGAAGCTTTTTACTCAAACCCAGCAACAGTTAAATGGTTTCCTTCAGACCAAGAGTAAGGCACTATTTTTAGCCCAGAGCACTTTTTCATGTTGTTTGTCTTTTGCACAAATACGTATCCCTGGGTAACTGGCTTGCTGCAGACAAAAAGTAAATTGTTATGTCCGGGGCTCTACAGCACTAGGGACATGGAAATGTTCATAGGTGAAACAGGATGCTCTTCAGTGTGCGAAGTGTCACAGCTAACGTCTGAAGAAGCACAGCTTCTTCCCACACAGGGAAGAAAGAGTAAGATAGAAAGAGTTGATACTAAAAAAAATGGAGGAAAGAAAAGAAAACCATGGGAATAGCATAGATAAAATTCCCCAGATTCAAACCATGGCATTTCCAGTGTTAAAAGACAGTGCAATGTATTTGAAAACAACTTAGGATCAATGCTTCTATTGGGACGAGACTAGTAGCTGGAGTCATCACTGCCATTACAGTGCATATTTCTACATGGGACCAAGTCACCTGGGCTCC